CCTGTCTAAGAGCCCTCTGAAGACCTTTCACAGCCTCTAGGCTGGCTTCGAGCCTTCGAGCCTTCCTGGCCTTGGTGGCCACAGACTGACACTCCTTGTTCCACCAGGGGTGTCCAAACCCATGCCCACGGCCCCGCTTAGCACTGCTGAGATACGCACTATGTACGCACTCCATTGGATAAATCTTGCTAGAGCCTCTAGCGATTCTGTGTTCGTTTGTTCACCTAGCTCGTACAACCATCGCTCTTCAACCTTCCCCTGTAGAGCTACCTCAAAGTCTTTGACATTAAGGGTGCTAAGTTTCGAGGGGGGTCCTTCTCAGCTAGGCCTCTAAAGCACGACAGGCGAGTGAGAACCGGGAGGTGGTCAGAGCCGCACCCAAAAGTAAGGTCAACCTCTGTAGCTGCACCTCTTTGATAGAGGTTGCTAGAGCAAAAGGCTAGGTCGAGAGTATTCCCAAGGTTGTGAGTTTGAGTACTAGGAGGGGTAGTGAGCTGTAGCCCTCTATCCTCTATCCAGTCAATGAGCGAGAGGGCCTGGGCAGTCTCTTGGCTAAGGAAGTCAGGTTGCCAGAGTTGGCTGTTCAGGTTAAAGTCCCCAGCTAGGAAGAGGTTTCTTATAAGGATATTTTGAGAGCTAAGAACAAGGCTAACAGCCTCCCCTGCACCCTTAGCACCTAAAGGCGCGTTGTATACGTTGAGTATGTAAAGTGAGTGGCCTTAGGAGAGTGCAAATTTAACATAGACAAGGTCTCGGCATTTAAGCGAGGGGGCGATTAGGGTCTGTTAGCTTGCAAGGATGCCAGCCCCTTTTCGTACAAAAGTGAGTGCCCTAGGAGGGCTGATATTCCAGTCACATATAGGTGCAAAGCAGTCGTAATTCGGGTGGCGTCTTGTGATCTAACGACTGATCTCCTTTCGGTAGATATATGGCTCTTGGATAAGTACTACATCAACTCGCTTAATGTGGGCTAGCTGTAGTACTAGCTCCTGGTAATCGCTAGACTTGTGTACATTGATTTGTAGGACTTGGAGGCAGTAGTGTTGAGTAAATCCCTGTGTACTCATAATAAAGTAGAGGGATTAGTGTCCATGTATCCTTGTCTAGGGAGGTCGTAGTATGCCTCTTCTGTAGTAGTAGCGAGGGACTTGTTAGCCCGTTAAAGAATTACAGAGGAAGGCGTGAGAGGGCTGTCTATGCTAGCTTGAGGGGGGAGGTTCTGAGGAGTAGTAGGCAGCCCTGGTTCCATTACCGTGTCTACGCTACTATAGGGAGAGTCTCCTTCTCTTCTTGTCCGCATCTCATTACATGCCTGTTGAACAGCTCTCTTGTTCTCTGTTGAAGGGTGTGTTCCTGAGGCTTTTGGCCTAAGCTGGCACGTAGGGTCGTCTGAGGCGTGTGGGCCACTACAGTGTAGGCACTTTAGTTTACAGAGAGAGTGCCTAATGCACCTAGGGTGGAAAGCTTTAGAGTGTTTAGTGGTGCCACATAAGCGGCATCGTTGGTTCTTGCCACAGTTCCTTGAGTTGTGCCACATCCAGCACCTAGAGCACTGTATAACAGCAGAGACTTTAGGGAGGCGCTTAAAGAAGGCTCTTCTTCCAAGGAGAGATGTCATGTCGGGGATAGCGCGAGGGACCCTAGCTTCCTCTTCCCTAAAGAATACAATCCAAGAGGTATAGAACAGCCCGTCAGAGAGAGAGCTAGTGGCCATGTCAACCTTCGTAGGTGTAATTCCAATTCGCTCCTCTATAGCTGTAGCTACTATTTGCGGAGTAGTAGAGGAAAGGGTCGATAAAATCGCTCCTTTTTTATTAATTTCGACAGTCTCAACACTACGAGGGACCCCTGATAGGCGGAATACTGCCCAATCTTACGAGGTCTCTATTCTAGCTGCAGAGAACAGGGTTTGGATAAAGGCCTTCTTTGTTAATAGAATAGTATCAAGGGCTTCTTTGTCCTT